TCTGCTAAAGACAGACACGGACTTCAGAGGATGATTAGAACTGCAGAAAAAACAATGGCCACCAACCCTGCTTTCCATTGAGGACCCGTCCACTGCACGAGTCAAAAAGAGGGCTGTGAAAATATCTACAGACCCCTCGCATCCTGGACATAAATTGTTTCAACTCCTACCCTCAAAATGATGCTACAGGGCACTGCAAACCAAGACTAGACACAAGGACAGTTTTTTCCCAAACACCATCACTCTGCTTAACAACTATTTCCCTCATCACTGTCAAACTATTCACTAAGGCTGCATTACTATTACTATTAATCTTCTAATTGTTCCTATCACCCATCTCCTCCCACTTATGACCGTGGGACTGAAACTTTGCTTCTTGTATCCTTACAATTTATATTGATATTGTTTCCTGATTGCTTATTTGTACCCTAGGACTATCATTAATTGTTGCACATTATGATTCTTGACTAACGTATCTTGTCTCTTTATGTACACCAAGAGCTTACGCACCAAAGACAAATTCCTTTTGTGTCCAATCACACTTGGCCAATAAATAATTCTATTCTATTCTATTCTATTCAGTCAAACATCTTCATGGATCTTTTCCCTGGGTGTCCCAACATATCCAATCCAAAGGGGATCCTGTGTATTTTAATTTTGCAACTGGGTGGGATAATCAAGAGATTACCAGCAATGCTAGGAAATGTAAGCCTTTGTTTCTCTTAAGATGGGTGTGTTAGACAGTGAAGTCAGGACCTTCCACAGGGCAAAACAGATACTCTTCCAATAGATCACAAGATCATAGAATTGTGGAGTCAGACAGGACCAGAAAAATACCTAATCTTTTGCAATGTATAGAAAAACAAATTGTGCCATCTAATCCAAGAGATGGCTCTCTAGTCTATTCTTAAACCCGCCCAAAGATGGAATACCTTCCACAGGGAGATTATTCCATTGTTGCCCAGATTGGAGAATCAATTTTTTGGTTGTTGTTCTCTTTACATGATATCTACGGAGCTGCAATTTGTACACAGGATTTGAGGTCTTCGTGCCTGTTCTTATGGGGAAATGGTCTTGACCACCTTACAGACTACAGAATAACAGAGTTGGAAGGGACCTTGGAGGTCTTCTAGTCCAACCCCCTGCTTAGGCAGGAAACCCTATACCATTTCAGAAAATTGGCTCTCCAATCTCTTCTTAAAAGCTTCCAGTGTTGGGAATATCCACAATTTCTGGAGGCAAGTCGTTCCACTGATTAATAGTTCTCACTGTCAGGAAATTTCTCCTTAGTTCCAGGTTGCTTCTCTCCCTGATTAGTTTCCACCCATTGCTTCCTGTCCTACCGTCAGGGGGCCTTGGAGAATAGCTTGACTCCCTCTTCTTTGCGGCAGCCCCTGAGACATTATTGGAACACTGCTATCGTGACACTCCTAGTCCTCCTCTCCATTACATTAGACATGAATTATCTTCTGAACGTTCTTAATCCCCATAGCACATTTTAATGTACCTGAATGTTGGAACCTTGCCTTCTAATTTTTATGATGGTGAACAAACCAGGTTCCTATAGACCAGTGACGGTTAACCTTTTTGGCACCGAGTGCTGAAACTGGTGCGCATGCCGGAGCGCCGGAACCCAGAAGAGAGCAGCTGGCTGGTGCGCATGCATTCCAGGTTCTGGCATGCGCGTGAGCACTGGACCAGCTCTCCAGTGCGCGGAACCAGAATAGCAGCTGGCAACGATGCCCGTGCCCATAGAGAGGGCTCTGGCACACGCACCGTAGCTTAGCCATCACGGCTATAGTCTGCCCTTGTGCTTCGAGTCCCTAAATCATTATTTTCATCATCTGTAGGTGGTGAAGGTTCCTCCCAAAGTCAGCCTCCGGCTCTTCCCTAACCCTAACTCTGTTAACTGCTGCTACTCAAGGCCATTCTTATTCTCTGTCCACATCAAGTGTCTACTTTAGCTAGTTCCTTCATGCATCCCTCTAAAGTGGGGCAAGATGGCTCTCAGTTCTATCCTCCAAAGCAGATGCTGATCATCGGGGGAGGGGGGGGGAAGAGATACATACCTTTGGAATGTTGACCCGTGACCAAAACAGCTCCAAGTGCTCCCTCATCTTCTGTGGCTTGAATTTGGAGTAGAGGATGGCCAGTTCGGTGAACATCCCCATATGAGCCCGTTCCAGCCCCAAAGCAGCTTCCAACATGGTTATCAACTCCTCAAAGTAGCCGCGGTCCTTTCAGAAGGGGGGAAAAAAGGCCGGGGAAATATCAGTCACTGTCCAACAGCCAGGGTTTTAGCTCTTTCCTTGTAAAGGTAAGATATGGAGGACATCAGCAACCAACAGGTTGGCCCGTTACCTGGTAGTAATTAATGAGTTCTTCCAGTTCATCGGCGTGCACGACGATATGCAAACCGCACATCTGGGCCAAGCGGAATTCCTTCCCATCAACGCAGGCAAAGCAAACCTGAAAAGGGAAGAGGGTTGGAGTTCTGTTTAGGAAAAGGGGAAAAAAGTTTAGCCTCAGATCCAGAGGTGGCATTCAGCCAATTCTGACAGGTTCTGGAGAACCGGTAGTGGAAATTTTGAGTAGTTCGGAGAACTGGCAAATAGTTAGGCTGGCCCCGCCCCTGCTGCCTCCCAGCTGATCTTCTTCTGTTGCCCTGAATAGGAGAACGGAGCTGGAAAGTGGGGTGGGAAGGGAATGGAGATTTTGCAATGTCCTTTCCCTGCCACGCCCACCAAGCCAAGCCACACCCGCCAAGCCACACCCACAGAACCGGCTCAGATCCCTTATTGTCTTTGTTGGGGAGAGTTGTAATCCTGCCTTAGCCCTGACTTTGGACCAATGACTCTCTCTCAGTCCAACCCCACCTCAGCGGGTTGTTGTTGAAGGGAAAATAGGAGAAGGAAGGCGACTTGGATATGTTTGCTGCCTTAAGTTATTTGTAAAAATAATAAAGGCGGGAAAATGAATGAATGAATGAATGAATCCAGATGTATCACTTCTGATCGTACATTCTCCTCTTTATTGAGACCCTCACCATCTTCTGGGGTGAAACCTAAAAGTTAGGGGGGGGCGCAGGAAGCCAAGAACTTACCTCCTTCCAAGTTCTTGTGCTGTTTGCCTTCCGGGCCCCATCCACCGCTGCCTGGTATTCACCCAAATGAACCAACGTGGAGGCCAAGCGGCCAAAATTGGAGACGTTGTTGTATAGAAGTTTGGCTGCATCGTACATCTTCTCTTCATAGCAACGGTCCCCAACCTACAGAGGCAAGGAGAAGTCGGTGGGTCTGTGGTTTATTGGTTAAAAGAAACGGCTGGAGTCCCCCTGCCTAGTTATGCCACGCTGACCGCCAAGGGGTGAACACGCTGTGAAAGGCCACTCTTACATCCTCCTGAAGGCGCAGGATAGAAGCGGTTCTAGCCCACCCTCAGCTGCGAAAGTGGATGAGGTGGGACCACTGTTTAGTTTACAGGATGGGAAAAATCCTGGGGAAAATGGTTAAGTTAAAAGTGAATATAAATATATAAAAGATCTTCTCTGGTGAGGGAGATCTCTAATCAGTCGGCCTACCTAGGACACTCCAAATGGTTTGAAGCTCTCTTCAACCATAGAAGCTGAGTGGGAATCTTTAAGCCACTGTTTCTCAACTGAGCCAAGGTGGCGCAGTGATTAGAGTGCAGTACTGCAGCCACTTCAGCTGACTGCTAAGCTGCAGTT